TTATATATTTATATTTTTGTAAAATTATATTAATATATACTAAGTCTTATTTATCAAATTATTAGTTTATCTATAAATATACTAAAAATATTATTGATATTAATTTATCAGTAATATTAAAATACTAATAATATATAAATTTTATTTATTTAGTAATAATAAATATATATCATTTGATATATTAACAAAAATTATAACACATGTTAACTTAAATAAACAAACAATTGTATAATTTTAAAACATTATATATATATATATATATATATATAAATTCTAAAATTACTAAATTTTTAATGAGAAAAACTAAAATCGCACAATTATAATAGTTGAGGGACTAAAACTTCAATTAAAAATTAAGGGACTAAAATCAAACAATAACAATTTTTAAGGACTAAAATTACTCAATTAAAATCTTGAGGATCAAAATTACACAATTGTAATACATGAGGGATTAAAAACACAATTAAGCCTATATTATTTTATAAAGTAGTTTTCAAAAAAACAAACAATTCAAAAGAAAATATTTACTATTCTAAATTTCTTTCCAAAATAAACATATCAGTCTACAATGTACTTTTTACTACAAACATAATATTTCAAAAAATACTTTTTTGGAACAAACATATCATCTTGAAAAATATTTTTGGAATAAACATATCATCTTCAAAAGCATATTATTTGATACCACAATTTTATAGAACAAAATTGACGTAATGTATACATTTTAAAATATATTAAAATATGAACACATTAATTATCTTTAATTTTTTGTTTAACTTTAAATAATTTGATATAAACATACAAGGTGATATCAAATTATAATTCAATAATTTGAATGAACAAAACTTACATTTAATATAACGTTATTGAGTTGTGTAATAATTGATAAAAATTATATATCGATGTCATTTGAACCATTTTCATATATGTGTGTGCAAGAAGAAATTCACTTACTCTAAGAGTTAGTTTATCTAGACTTATTCCATTTAATAACACATATTCTACATCAAATTTCAACAATCCAATCATTAAACTAAAAGTTCTTAATACATAGTTAAAGTATGTAATTTTTTTAACAAAGTTTAAAACTATTTAATATCTCGTTATATAAATTTTAGTTATTAAATAAAATATTTATATGATAATTTATCAATTTAAATTAACAAAACAAAATATTCAAAATAATTTTTATTTTTATTTTTAAATTTAGATAATTAATCTTTGTACCGAGAACTATGAAAGTATAGAATAGAATTGAGGTCTGAACTGTGAAGGCAGCAGGCGAAATGACAAATCAACAACTAGAATAAATTATTAAGAAGACGAAGGCGTGTGAAACGTGAGCTCCATTTTAAATTATTTTTGGTAGATTCGCATTTGATTTTGCCGGATACGAATTCCACCACATTTAGTATATAATGGTGCTCTGGAGGCTGGAAAAAGAGCAGAGGAAATGGAACGACGAGCATTGCTGACATTGAGCTACGCTTTCTTATTGCTTATTTTGGGAGTGCTTGGTGCTGAGAACTACAGCAGACATGATTTCCCTCCTCAATTTGTTTTCGGATCAGGAACCTCTGCTTATCAGGTTCACTTCCTCATTTTTATTTTATTTTATTGTGCAAAGCAAAGGATGAATGCATAGATCATTATTCATTACCACAAACAGGTGGAAGGAGCTGCTAACGAAGATGGAAGAACTCCTAGCATCTGGGATACCTTTGCCCACGCTGGTTAGTGCTTACTTTCCTTCCCATTCATGTTACCAATTATGCATTTTACTAAACTAACACTCTTGTAGGGGACACCATACAAAACCTTCATCTACCAATTCAGATTAATCAATATTTACGACACCGATTAAGAAATTAATGCCTACAAAGTTTTTGTTAAAAATTAAAATAAGATTATACGAGAATATGTAAATGCACATTTTAATGAATTTTTTCTATTTTTTATTTGTTATATAGTACACTCAGGAACAAAAGTGTCCGTGTAATATTTTTTAAAATAATTAAAAAGAGTGGTGCAAGTATAAAAAAAAATATTTCACAAAATTTTAAAGAAGTGAAAGTAATTTATTTATTTTTATAATTTTGGGGTTTTGTTTGAGTTCTTACAAAGAAACAGGTATTTAAGGCGTAGCTATTACACGTGATTTTTAAAAAAAAATTTAATATATAAATTATTTTGAGTTTATTTAATTACAATATTTTTTCAAAGAATTAGAGCACAACGTTGTTGTTATTGTTGATTAAGGTGCAAATTAATTACTACCCGTGTATTTTATGATATGACATTTTTAATAAAATATAATTAGTTATTGTAGTTGGTTTTATTAGATTTATAAAATAAAATTATAATTTATTAATTTTATCTTTTTATTTGTCATTAAATTTTTATGGAAGAAGTGAGAAAATTATTGATATTAATAAAAATGATAAATGATTATTAAAAAAAATCGAAGAGGTGAAAGAGAAAAAATCTCACAATCTTTATTAAAAACATAAAATAAAAATAAAAGGCAAAAATATGGGAATTGGCTTCTTTTTAGGTGATTTCAAAGCCATCAAAAAGCTAAAATCCATGATTACAACTTTCATGAGATCGCAAAAGCAAATTTGGCCATATACTTGCTTAAACGAGTCAATCTTTTGCTTAAGCAAGGCTAGCTTGCTCAAAATTTGCTTTAAGCAGCTCAAGTCAGAAAACATCTTTGAACAACCACCCAGGCTCACTTGTAGTGACCCCCATGGGCACTCTAAGCGAACAAACCTAGAAAACATGCAGATTTGAAGTTCAAGAACATCAACCTAGCAAAACACTTCACTAATCCAAAAATGCACCCATCCATACATCAATTCATGCATGCAACTCAATCATTCATACATATACCTTTCCAACAATTTATTTTGCCTCAAAACCACCACATGCAATTACAAAATTTGTCAAAATCATCTTAGCCAGCTCAAGAACAACCAAAACTCTACCAACACAACCTTCAAATTTACAAATCTTCTAATTCATGCAACAATTGATAATCTCACTCACATACAACACAATAATTCAATCCAACATTGATCCTAGCTCTTCTTACCTCAAACCCCAAGAAATCTAGGAATGAGAAGGAAAAGACCAGTTTTCAAGCTCTAAGCTCTGCAATAGCCTCCAATCGTTTGATTCTCAACCTTTAATGCTAGAATCACTACTATGAGGATCCAAGAAAACCTCTCATGCCCCTTAGGAACCTAGAAGAAAGAAGAAGTTAGAATTTTCATAACTCCTCACTCTAGTTTCTCTCTCTAAGGTCTTTGAGAAGTTGAGATTATGAGACTTTACTCTCAGAAAAATTCTTATATACTTTTTCCTCTTAGGAACAACTAGATCTATGGGAAAAGATCCTCACAACTTACTCAGATTACCTCAGTACAATGTTACATTTTATATATATCACAATACAACTCTAAATTCAAAATAATACTATAATTCTCCAGAAAAAAAAGAGGAAGTGCATACTTAATGATGTATAAACTCCAAAAGTCTACCTGGGTAATTACATGGTTTTCAAGCTTTAAGACACTAATTATTTAAGAATAAAAAATAGAACGCCTCAATAATCGATTATAAACTAAAACGTGAATCAGTAATGAAAAACTGCAAAATATTTACTAATCATTCACGCATCAAAGGCCAGTCTCATGCAATCATTTTTAAGAAACAGTGTATGCGCATGGAGAAGATGGAGATGTAGCATGTGATGGGTATCACAAGTATAAGGTGAATACTGAATACGCTACGCCTCAATATTTTTTTCCACTTTCCCGTTAATGCATTCCTTGTGGTTCACTATTTTTTGGAAAATTAAAAAAGATTGAGGCTAATGCAGGAAGATGTGCGGCTTATGGTGGAAACAGGCCTTGATGCCTATAGATTTTCCATTTCATGGTCCAGATTGTTGCCAAGTATGATTACTCGACACAAACTCTTGAATTTGTAAGATAAAAACCTTTCTCAACACTTGAAAATGCTTTTGTTTCTCCTCAGATGGTAGAGGGCCCGTCAATCCTAAAGGATTACAGTACTACAACAACCTCATCAATGAACTCATCAGCAATGGTTAAAACTTCAAAACTAGTTTCTTTGTTTGCAAAATTAACCATGTCATAACCTTATATTCACTTCAGATAAGTAAATGAATTAATAATTTTGACACCTTTAGTTCCCTTTTTCCCTGTTGCAGGAATCCAACCACATGCCACGCTACACAACTTTGATCTTCCACAAGTACTTGAAGATGAATATGGAGGATGGGTTAATCGTGACATCATGTATATTCCTAATCAATTTCATGTTGTTTAAAATTCTAACAAATGGGTGTGTGCGTGTGTAAACATTTGCCTCCTTATAGTAATGGAGAAAATTACTTGGATGTAAATGTAGAAGGGACTTCACATACTATGCAGATGTGTGTTTTAGAGAGTTTGGTGACAGAGTATTGTATTGGACCACCATCAACGAGCCCAATGTTTTTGCCATTGGTGGTTATGATAAGGGAAACAGCCCACCGCAACGATGTTCTCTCCCATTTTGTGCAATAGATAGTGGTAGGGGCAACTCAACATATGAGCCCTACTTTGTAGTTCATCATATTTTGTTAGCACATTCTTCAGCTGCGAGACTGTACCGGAGGAAATACAGGGTATATCACCTAATCTACGGCATGGATTAAATTTTTGAAAAATTAAAATGAAATCAAACTAATTCATTCTATAAAAGTAGATTGATTAACTGTTACATTTTTTATAAAGTGGATTGATTTAATTCTTTTTTATGAATTGAATTTTTTAATATTGGATTGATTCAGTATAGTATAGTTATTCATCTTTTTATTCATATATGGATCTTTTTTAAAAAAATTGAACTGATTTATTTTGTAAAAATGGATTGGATAATCAAATCGATTTTGTAAAGTAGATCCATTCAAATTTATTTTATTTAAATAGATTGATTTTTTAATATGGATTAGTTCTAATGAGTTAAGATTTTTTTGCATACTTCTATTGCCCTAATCTTAGTTATATATGAGAAGTGTTAGAAATATAATTTCTATTATCTGCTGAAATATATTAGAATTCATAAATTTTGTAGTTCTTGCTACTTCTAGTTTAACTATTAGTAAAAAGTGTTACTATTTTTCTCTCAATAATAAAAGCTGTTTTGCTAATACTTCTCTCTTTGTATGTGTTTTAATGGTAAAAGGATCCACTAATATACTTAGTATAAAACTTAACATCCTTTATACGCTTGTTAATTTTTTTATATTGATTTTCATACAAACTTATGTGATTTTGTAGGACAAACAACATGGATTTGTTGGTATCTCTGTGTACACATATGGGATTTTTCCTCTAACAAATACAGAAAAAGACAGGCTAGCATCTCAAAGAGTCCGTGATTTTTTGATTGGTTGGTAAGTCATAGACCTTACAATTGGTTGATTTTACTTCTTTCTTTGCTTGTAATGTGTGTATGTATGTATGTATGTATATATATATATA